TTATTATTATTATTATTATTATTATTATTATTATTATTATTATTATTTGCTATAAAGTACTGGTACATCTATTGCTGATGAACACTATGATGAAACATTTTTCCCCTATGGGAGTGATGGTCCTCTGTTATAGTCAGACAAGAGAGTCACTAAATGATTTGAAGTATATGAAATTTTTTACATGAAAATATTGCTGTGATTTATAAAATTCTATTAGACTGGACAAAGCCTGATAACAAGACATGCACAGCGATGTTTCAGCACAAAACCCAACAATCAACATTTGGAAAAGTTGTTCCATAAATGAAAACAAAGCAGAAAACAGTTTTTCCCCCTAGTGTTTTGTAAATTGTTGTTTTTGTTTCTGTTTTTTCGTTGGGTTTCGCTCTAGTTTTCTCTGAAATCTTGTTGCAGTCTTTGTTTTGTCGTGTGCGTTTTTTCCTCCAGTGTTTCTGTGTTGTGTCCCTGTTCTGTCCTCCTGTAATTTTTTTGCTTCTCCTCTCAGGTGGAGGCATACGACGCTGACAAGCTGAACTACCACGGCGGGTTACGGGTGTCATTCGGCATGCAGTTGATGGCGGCAGCAGAACGAATCGAGAGGGAGATCCCATCCATCAGCTGGCCCTTCCTGCTCCTTCACGGCGACACTGACAAGATCTGTGACATCCGCGGCTCCGTTATGATGCATGAGAACGTTGCAAGTACTGACAAGAAATTTAAGGTGAGTGTGGTTTTGATTAGATTGTTGCCCGTTACTGAAGGTGAACGTGTGTGTGTGTGTGTGTGCGCGTGCGCGCGTGCGTGCGTGTGTGGAACCATTGGACAAATGTTAATGGATCTCTCCAAAAGTAATCATTGAGTGCACATCTACAATTGATAACCTTTAACTCAATTCAAGATGGCTGCCACAGCCAATTGATCTTAGAAAACACAAACATGGCTGTAACTGATTAATTTATTGAAATTTACAAATATTGGACTATTTTTGTGTGGTAGTAGCTGAGACTTATACACAAAACATACTACACTTTACACATCTCTGCATAAAATTTGTCTTTCCTTCAAGAAATATCATATTTTCCGGACTATAAGTTGCTCTGGAGTATAGGTCGCATCAGTCCAAAATGCCTCATGAAGAGGAAAAAACTATATATATGTCGCTTCGGAGTATAAGTCACATTTATTTAGAAGTGTATTTCACAAAGTGCAAGAACAGACATTTAATCTGAAATAACAATAACACAGAACCTACGTGATCCTGAACAGGCTTAATTAACATAACAAGCAAACAAGTCTGACAAGTTACCGGTAAATTAGTCATTCTCATTCCACATCACTTTCGGGGACATTTTACTTGTAACTTTTTCTCAGTTGTCTCTAAGTGACAGTGTTGCCAGGTGAGAAATGTAGGATTATCGTACTAGAGACATAAAATTATCGTATTTTGAGGGAAATTATTGTACACCCGTCATAACCAAAATAACAAATCTATTTATGCACTATAATGGTGATGGGTCCGCTTCCAGACCAGCTCTGCTTCTTCTTCTTCTTCTTTTCTTTTTTCTTTTCCTCACTCATGGGGCGGGCGCAGCGGACTATCAGCCAATCATGGCCGTTGTTCTGAGGCAAACGCAAACACGTCACTCGTAGGTAACATTTAGAAAAGCACGATTGGCTGGAATTTCCAGCCAATCATGCATTTGTTTGCGGACACAGATGCCTTCAGTGTTCACAAAAAAACTCAGACAGGCGGTTGCGAGAGGCTGATGACAACTTATTACAACCACACATTCACGGAATGGTCAAATTATCATATATTTGGCCTTTTTGGGGATTATTGATCGTACAGAGGGCAAAATTGTCGTACAAATATGATAATTATTGTACACCTGGCAACACTGCTAAGTGATGTGTTTTTTTTTTTGGGGGGGGGGGGGGGGTTGGGGTTAGCGGTAGAGGAACAATAAGTCGCTTTGGACTATAAGTCACAGGACTGGCCAAACTATGAAAAAAGGTGCGACTTATAGTCCGGAAAATACAGTACTTGAATTATTTAAGATTTATTTACCGTTCTTCTCCCCGTTTTTTTTTTTTTGTAATTTCAAAGGTCGTTTTGACACAAAGGGAGGAAGAAATATTTGCATTAAATTTAAAAATCACTGAACTTTTCTAGCATTTGTTTGTCATAAAAAGCAACTTCAACAATTTATTAGTAGCTCCTCTCTCAACAGCCTAGTTTAATATGTGTAGATTATGTAGAAAAGATCGGCACCTGAAAGAAGCCGCTTTACATTTAAATAAAACATCTTTTCAGCTGCTGAATGATAAAATGCGAATAAACAGACTGATAGTTGTTTACAACCTGTTTCTCGTCTAGAGAATGAGTTTTTTTAAAGGAGGGATGTTTGCGCGCAGTGTTATTGGAAGGTTTATCACAAAGAGGAGGACAAATTAGTGATAAATGTGTGAAGGAAGATAAGTGAACAGGGTGGATTGAATTTTCTTTTCTCCTGCACAGTAGAGTTACTGTAAGTGCCGAGCTCAAGGCTCAGGCAGAACTTTATCATATGTGTAATGAAACAGAAGAATAGCAGGTTTTAAATCAGAATAAAAATGGTTTAGTTGTGTGAGAGGTGGGGTACACCCTGGACAGGTTGCAAACAACTGTTTAGTCTCACCCACACCAAGGGGCAATTTATTGTTACCAGTTAACCTCTATTTCCATCTTCTACCACATATCTGTAGTCAGGTTGCAGAGGCAACAAGTTCAGGAGAGGAACCCAGACATCTCTCTCTCCACAACTCCCAGCTTGTTCTGGGGGACCTCATAGTGTTTCCAGGCCAGAGAAGATGCACAACCCTCCAGTGACTTCTGGATCTTCCCCGGGGCTTCCTACCAGTGGGACGTGCCTGGAAAACCCCTAAAGGGAGGCATCCAGTAACCATCATAATCAGATGCCTGAACCACCTCAGCTGACTCCTTTTGATGTGGAGGAGCAGCGACTCTGAGCTCCCTCCCTCCTAAACATATCTTTAAGGCTGAGCCTGGCCACCCTGTGAAGGAAACCCATTTAGGCCGCTTGTATCCAGGATCTCGTTCTTTTGTCATGATCTAAACCTCATGACCTTGGATAAGGGCCAGAACATAGACCAACCAGTGAATCGAGAGCTTTGCCTTTCAACTCAGCTCTTTCTCCTCCACGACTGACCAAAGCAACACCCTCATTACTGAGGACGAGGCTCCAGTCCATCAGTCCATGTTCTGCTCCATCCTACCATCACTAGTGAACAAGATGCCCACTTGAACTCCTCCGCCTGATGCAAAGTCTCCCCCGTGACCTGGAGGGGGCGTTCCACACATTTCCTATCAAGAATCTTGGTCTCAGATTTAGAGGAACTGACTCTCATTCCAACTGTTTCACGTTCAGCTGCAAACTGCCCCAGTGCACCCTGATGGTCTTGGTCTGAAGATGCTAGCAGAACTACGTCATCTGCATAAAGCAGAGATGAGACCCTGAGGTTCTCAAATTTTGTTTTATTTTATTTTGCCTCAGAGTCTCTGAGAGATATATAGTATTAGACCTGATTTATAAGATCTAAACAAAAAAAATTCACATTTTAACACCAGCTTCTGATTTTTCAGATTAATGAATTAGGAGGAAATTATCTTTGGTTGAGTTCTCAGCTCCACACCCACAAGATGTGTGAACAAAAATAGATTTTAGCATTGCAAACAGTATGAAAATCAATATTTACTCATTATTCCACTTAACTCATCACTTATTGTTAAATAGCACATATTGCTTGTGTACGCATAAGTAATGTATTTAATCCAGCTGGATCACAACTCAATTCCCACTTGTGAAGAAACAAAAACCCAGATTTTCATAGGCTGATTCTAAAAGGCAAAAGCAAACTGTGTTTTTGCTTCTGTGTGTGCATGTGGCTGTCTGCCTGTTAGCAAAATAGTTTATGAACCACTAGAAGGACTTTAATTAAACATTTGAAAAGTAATCATTGGGTGGACATCTAAGCCAATTTAAAATAGCCTATAGAGCTAATTGATATTAGCCAACACAAAAGTGGCTATAATTCACTTTCACAGATAATGAGCTAAAATTTGGTGTGGTAGTTGCTGAGAATCATTCACAGCGCATTCTCTGCATGACATCTCACAACATCATCTGCGACTGAGTATTATTTTCAGTGTTTAACCTAAACAGCTACAACTGAAGCTGACCTTCGTGTGAAACTCATGAAAAGTGACAATTAAGGCCCTACTGTGTGTGTCAGTGGTTTAAAAATGACAGAAAACACTTAAAACGTCTGTTTTAAGACAGTTTATTTTTACCGAGTGCATTCATTTCCTTGAAATGTTTTTCAGATCTATGACGGAGGCTACCATGCGCTCCACCACGACCTCCCTGAGGTTGCTGAGTCTGTGCTGAAGGATGTGACCAGCTGGATCACAGAACGACTGCCGGCTGCAACCACGCGGCACCAGCAAGGCTTGTAGATTCTTAACTCGTAGAGCTCAGTCAGCGCTCCAAGGAAACTCACAACCTTGTGCCGCCAGGCCTGCATAACTTCCTGCCAGGAATAAAATACTACTGCATTCCTCTGTCCTAGAGATGGACACTGTATTTGCTGTATGAAAGGTTAAATAACTCAATCCTTTGGGCATCTGCTGAACTTTCTTCTTGTGTTTGAGTAAGTCAAACCGATGATTTATTTTAAGCGATGTTTTCTGAAACTCCTGAAACTCAGCAGCAGTAGTCAGTTTCCCACCTGTGATCAGGGATGTGCCTCATGCATTAAATCTGATGTGCTTATTTGTTTTTAATAGGGCTGCTTTTGTGGGCCATGAATCAAATCAAGCTTAAATCTCACTAAGCTACGGTTCAACGTGCAATAATGAAGTTTCCACCTTTTGGTTTAAATAAACAAATCAGAGTTTTAAATTTTTATTAAGAAATACATGATTAATTTTCAAATGGGCATTTCCTTTTTGCCTTCCATAAACAGGGTTTGAGGTCAGGACAGCAGGTCGGGAGTTTCTGTTAGATCAGTTCAAGTTGGATGATTTAAGAGAAGCTGTCAGCTCCAGCTAGCAATAGTTTATTTCTTCTTTGTTCTGACCTTCGTTTTATCCTTTCCCCTCCCCAAATGCCAAGTTTTCCCTCTTTAACAGACAGAAACTTATTCTCTAAGCTCCTGCATATTTATAACAACCCTGTCTTCTCCCACACGTCTCTTTTGTTTGGTCTGCAGACAGATGATTGGCCTGAAGACAGATGGTTGGCACATGAACATTCTTTAAAGATTGCTGTTGTTTATTTAAATTCAGCCAAACCAAATTGTTTAAAGTCAGCACAAAAAAAATGATTAGGCCTCTTTTCTACCTATTGAGCCAACTTGAGGGCTTTTTAATATTTGTTAAAGAAACTGTAATCAATTTATTTCTTGTTGTTTTAATTACTTCTTGACTTGACTGTAGAGGGTGAAGCAGTAGTGACTTTCTGTGCAGATGGGAATCGTATAAGATGTCAAAGGTCAAAGGTCATTCTCTTTTTGCAGCCCCTGACCTTTAATTTAGAGCCACGATCGGCTTCACTGTTAAGAGTCATGCTTTTCAATGTTTACCTTCATTAAAATCAGACTCCAGCTGGAGAACTAGAGGGAAACACCACCCTGTTAGTGAGAATAAAGAGCATCTGTTTGCTTAGTGCAAAGTACCTTAAAGTACAAAAATCATTATTCAGCTAATTAGCCATTGAAATCTCGAACTCAGAATGAAGCCGTTTAAAACAAACAAACAAAAATTAAAAAAAAATACTTTTTTGTTGTTTTGTTAAAAGTTAAAATTATTATTTGTTATAATTGTGTGTTTTTCTTCAGGCGGGTTGCAGAAAATCTTGAAACAACTTCTGAGGTTGTGATTTAAAAAGAAACTGTCACCCAAATATGAAGAAATAACATTATTGAAACTGACAGAAAATAATTACTGCGTCCAATTAACATGTGGACTTGCCCCAATTCAATATGGCTGCCACAGCCGAGCCACTTTAACAATACTGACTATAAATTTGTCCGTTTTAAATACACGGCGCTAAAATTTGGTGTGGTAGTAGCTGAGAGTCATTCACAACTCATATTCCAAGCACTAACAAATCATACAAGATTGTCCAATTTTTATTTTATTTTTTTTCGAGGTCTGACCAAAATAGCTATAACTGTCATTTCTCAGTATAGGGTGCTCTTAGTTTAAAACACTGACGTAAAAAGATGCAATATGCATTCCTTCAAGGATTGGCAGACCTTTAATTCATATTAATGTTTGAAATAAAGATCTTTATATACCAGACAGCTATAATTAAACAACTGATTGAAACAGTTCTTGTCTCTATCAGTTTGCTCTAACAGTTCTACCTGATATGAATTGTGACTTTAAATATGTTAGCTATAAGTTCACAAGAACTGTTATTTTTGGTAGCTCCTTAATTATCAGCTAGACACTGAGCTCCATTATTATGTGTTGTCATGCAAACTGTAATTAGGAGCTACTATGCCTGATAGTTCCACAAACCAATGGAGTGTATGAAAATTTCTGTCTTTCAAGACTCTCTTAGCTTCATGCATGGAGGGAAAACTATTGGCTGTTTATGAAGTCAGGCAGTTTTCTCACATCAATCCCTTTTGTAGGCTTCATGTTTTATTGAACAGAAGAGAATATACAACACATCCTGGCGTTTGTTTTATTTTTTTTTAAGTTTGTGTTTCTTTAATCATTAACTTGTGCAGAAAATGTAGAGGACATGGTGTGGTATCCATGGTGACTGATCATGTTGAGGCTCAGCACCAGTCCTACAGCAGTGATTCTTTTTTTTTTTTTTACTTCTATCTATCAACATGTCTGATCACCAGGGTGATCCCAACAAGAAGGATAGAATGGGGTCTTTTAGACTTTCACTTTGTGTTCTCGTCCCAGCTCACCCTGCGTCACTGCATCGCATCTGCTGTTTTTATTTTTTTCTTCTACTTATTTTTACTGAATGTGGTAATGTACGCTCTGTTCTGTCCATCACACACACCATTGTTCTGTTACAGATTCAGATGTCTTGTACACAGACACCCACACTGCCACACGCTGAACTATCAGCAGCAACAAGACACGTAGTCTTTTATTTATATATGTTGTTCTTTTGCCTTACAGTTGTCATTTTTGTCATTTAAAAATATTGGTACCTCAACACTTTGTGTGCCAGAGCGCTTCTTTAAACTGCTCATCTCAAAGTTCTGATGATTTTCAGTCTTTATACTTCTATTATGATAATAATGCTGTCCTTAGAAGGCATTAAAACAGCTATAACTCAGTCAGCTTAACAGATAATGAGCAAAAATGTGATGTGGTAGTAGCTGAGAGTCCTCTTCAACACATACTCTGAGCATGACTTGTCATAATGCATGCGCCTGCAATTGCACGCAATGTCATTTTCAAGGTTTGCCCAAAACTGCTACAAAATTATTTCTCATCATAAAAATGATCTTAGTCTCAAACGCCGTCATAAAATATTCATTTCTTCAAGGAATGCCAGGACTTTAATGGTGTGTGCGTTAGAAATTTAGATTAAATAACTTTTAAAAGCCTTCTCAGGACATCTGCAAGAATAAAGCAAAAAAAATAGAACGAACAAACAACAGAATTAATAGAAGGAACAAGTTAAATGCATCCCACATCTTTAGTTTTGACCGGTTTTACAGATAATTCTGCCACAACAAACATCAGATAATATTACACGGGGTGCAGACATAGATGGAAATGTAATGTATTCCTGATCCCCTGCAGGAGACAGACTCTCAAACCCGACCTGAAACTGCAAGCACCTCAAATACAATCTACTCCTGATTAGACTGCAGCAGACGCAGCACACACAAAGGCTGCACAGTAGCGGCTGTATTCAGACTCCTAATGGCTCCCCTGCTGCACTGCATCAGCACAATGACTTCAGCTCACTGTGTCATTTCAAAAAGCCCTACCTGTCAGACTACATGAGTGGATATTACGGCTATTGTTTGCTCTGAGCATGGAGGGAGATGGAGATGCAGTGAGTGTATGAGAGAAAAAGAGAGGAAAGATGATGACAGTAACCATGGCAGCACTTTCCCCCTCGTCCCCTGCAAAAAATAACAAAGAAGGAAAAATCAGTAAAAAGAAATGCCTTCATTAATTCTGTGGGAAGTGTGGCAGATGGGTCTGCGCTCTCAGGGCTTGTTGTCCATTTGCTGCTCTGAGGATTCCCTTTTGTGTGAGTGCTGAGATAAGAGTCTAAATAACCAGCATCAGCTCAGTGAACAATCAGAACTGCATGATCTGAATTCAACAGGCTTACGCTTCAAATTAAACACGAGCGATTTCATGGAGGGTTTTTTTTTTTTTCGACTTTTTTATATGTTCTCCATTCTGTTCCATGTTCTCATTGAACAACGGTGCATGAAGTAAATTCAAACACTTTTCTTCTGGATTTCATTCCTAATTGCCTTATTCATGTGCAATACCCAACACGGTCTTCATATCCTCTAGAGCAGGGCTATTCAAGTGGTGGCCCGGGGTCCAAATCAGGCCCATGGTTGAATTGAGTTCAGCCCAACAATGGGTTCATTTCAAATAAAACTAGTTTTTAAACCATAAAACAAACTTACTTAATGATAACAGCTGGATGTCTGGCCCCTGAGCTCTTAGCTCTCAGTAACTGTGGCTCCCTGAGCAATTTAGCTGAATAGCCCTGCTTTAAAGCCGTTTCTCCTTACAGTAATCGTTTGCACTGACATGTGTTGTGTGCAAATGTCCCATAGAAAGATAGCCACATACAAAACGCTGTTAATAACACTCAACTGCTGAGATCCATCTGAGTCAGGACAGACGTTCTGCACTGAGTAAAGAAGAGGTAATAACGACAGATAGCAACTGAGTTTTGTTTCTTTCTTTTTTCCTTTTGACTTAAGGACTGTTTCAAAGAAAATAACTATTATGTAAGTTTATATATATATATATATATATATATATATATATATATATATATATATATATATATATATATAT